CAATTTAAAAAAGAAAAACATCACTTGTGACAATTATTGTTTTTGTTGCTGTCTAGCAGTGGCACGGTTCACATTTGAAATAAATTAGATTCCTGTGTAACAAATTTCTTTGTGCTGAGGGAAGAACAGATAGGGAAGTCATATCCATTAATGTCATTCATTCTGCCGTGGCGCCTAATTGGAGGAGTGGAATGGATGAGGGAAACCAGTGCTATCATTGGCCTACATGCTTTAACGTTGGTAAAATAAAGGCAGAATGAGCAGGGTTGATAAAAGCTAAAGCTGATATTTAGAGAAGATATAATTTAGAGAGGAGCAATAAAGCCACCCGCGAAAATATTTCTTAAACTTTTCCATATTTTCTCAAATTACAACCACAAACTTTATTGATTCATCATTTGCTATAGCATCACTCAAACTCAGCCGAATTAAATAGAGTCTGTCAACATTAGTTTTTGAAATGTTGCTGCACATCATCAATTGTTTTCAAATCTGGACCTTGACTGGACCATGTATCGTATATGTATTTTTAACTTTACTGTTCTTCCAGTAGTTGAATCTCGAACCCCTTCTCAAGGTTTTTACAACTTGTTAGTGGTTTTCTGCTAGTATTGCTCCATCTTTAGCTCTATTTTTAGCTCCATCCATCAAATCTGGCTAACTTCCTTATCCCTCCAGAAGAAAACTATATGCACCCCATGATGCTACCAACATGTTTTACTGTAGGGATTGGATGTTCAAAGTTTATGGTACACATTATGTCAAAAAAGTCAGCATTGGTCTTGTCACCTCACCATTGTCTTTTAAGCGTTTTTTTTTTTTTTTTTTTTTTCCTTTGATGGGTTGTGGAAATCTGCAAAGTAGGGACGCACAATATTGTATTTTTGGCCGATATTCAATATGCTGATATACTAAAACTCGTTTTGCCGATAACCAATATCAATACCAATATTTTTTTTACTGAAACTATACGGCTTTCTCTACTGTGGCATTAAAATACTGCATCGTTTTTGACAATTTAACTTGCTACCAAATGCAAATGCTAAAAAAAAGAGGCTGAAAATGATGTAACACTTTCAACTTGCATAATGTTTTATGTCATATTTATTCATGGCATCTGCTCTCTCTAAGACAGTGACAAAACTCAAACAGTGCAAATTTGAAAATTTCTCAACCTGTTCACAAGCAACAAGTGAAAAGCACATCAGTCATGCATTAACACTTAACAGTTTCTTATGATGTGCTGTGCTGCAGGGATCGTTGTCACTGGTTTGTCATATAAAAACAACGCCTGTTATATCGGTGAATTATTTTGACAGAACGGCTGATTTCCGATATTAAAATTTACAACTAATATCAGCCAATACCAATACCATGCCATTAATATCGTGCAGAATTTTGTGTGTGTTTGCATCTTGACTGCTTCTCTTTTCTGAGAAGCTGCAGAAATGTCATACTTTTTCTCCTTTCAGAGGACGGATTCTACAGCCATTATTTGTTTTAAAGCTGTGGATGCTGTTTTATAACCTAATCCTCCTTTAAACGGTTCCTTAACTTTATTCCTGAGTGGTGTCTTCATGATGCTGTTTGTTCACTAATGTTATGTAACATTTGTGGCCTTCAAAGAACATGTATATATTTTTTTTCACTTGCACATTATACATGATGTGTTGGACTGTCGCATTAAATTTCAATGGACTGTGTTGAAATTTGAGGTTGTACTATTACAAAAAGTCAAAAAAGAGTGTGAATACTTTTGCAAAGAGTGTCACGTTTTGAGAAAACAAAAGACGAGAGATATGATCTGAAATCTTTTAAACACCCACTCGGAATGGTGGGTGCTTAATCTTAGAAATTAATCTGAAGCTGGAAATTCTTCTTGAGGCAAATCATCAGAGTATATAAAGTCATTCAAGAGCATATCTTTTACATCTGCACTAAGACTTACCAGTTTAGCTTGAAGCTTTAAGATCTAGGCCTTAGGCTGCAACAACATCCATGTCTAAGTGAACTATCATGGTGTGCAACCACATACTGAAGATGATAGCCAGCAAAGTCATTTTGGCTGGTTTTGACTTTGATTTCTGGCATGTTCACAGATCTCTGACTCTGTCCTTTGGAGGCAGCATAGTTAATGGTCTTTCCACGTGATGTGTAAAAGCCTACCTGCTGACTTCACAGTTCGAACTTTTGACACAAAGGCAGGGCAGCCAAGAGCTCTGTTGAAATTCATGTTTCTGGATTAGGCATTAAACCAAGCTTGAGTCATTTTAATTCAGCCTGGCTGCTGTTGCAGCTCAGCGGAATATGAGTTAATATCATGATTCTGGTTCTTTCTTTTGCTAATAACAAAGCAAACAGAACTGGCCTTTTGTTTGAGCCGGATTTGTTTAGCATTCCCCGTTTTGGTGTAAGCGCTTAGCTTCGGCTAACGTTTGTGTGCCAGCCTCTCTGCGTTTTGCAGTTCAACCAAAGTGCCTTGTTTACTTCAAATTTCACTAATATAATCTCACCGTCCATCTTCTGAAAATTTCAGACCAGTTTGTTGATCCGAAGCCGTAAAGCTTTGATTTTTTTTTTTTTTGGTGAACACTTTGTTGCTCATTGATTTACTGGGCTGCCTCGGGCTGGAGGGAACATTGGCTATTTGCAGCTCCTCAGCCCTGGACAGCAATAAGAACAGACTTTAAGATTTTGTGCAAATACTTCTGTTGGTACTTTGAGTCTCTTTGAGCTTGGGAAACTGAATGTTTCCCAGAAGGATTTTCAGTGCAAGCTACAAATGACAGCATAGCATAGAGATGAAGAGGAGCTGGGGAGGCTGGTCAGCGTCTTATGTGGGAGCTGGGATTAAACTCAAAAGGAGTCATTTCATGCTAAAGGGTTAGCACACAAAAAATAAGTATTATGCTCTATAAACATTTGATATTTTCTGCTTCTTTTAAGAATACAAATCGGGTCAGTGTAATTGTGTATACTGCTTATGCATGCAGCTACTTCCTCTTCAATGGTATTTTGCCAGACTTATCAATATACAAGAATGATGTTCTGCCATCGCCTCCAAAAATAGCTGACAAGTAAATGTACATCACATCCTCCTTTAGAGGTTGCTGACTGGTTTAATGCTTCAGTCACATATAACTCACTTTATTATAACCAACTTTATTTCAACAAATTTAAAACAATTCAGAGCTTCAATTGCTGTACAAGAACTAGAGTTGAGTAATATTTGCTCAGTTACATTTACTTGAGTAACCATTTAAAAATGAAGCACTTGTAGTTTTACTTCACCCTGTATTTCATTTCTGCTTAAGTAATATTATTTTGAAGTAATGCTTCTGTTACTTGAGTACAATTTGTGGCAACGCTATCAGAATTTGACTGTTTTATTGCAACGTACACCAGACACGGACACATTTATGGTTCATGTTAAAGTAAGACTTTGTACACTCTTTATACTTTTAATAAAGCTTGGAGAAGAGTTTATTCATTGCCTAATTTGATTATTTTGTAATCAAGTTGTTTGTTTTTACAGATTTTCTTTTTATTTTATGCTTTGAAGTAATTTCCACGTGGTATATTTTTGTCTCTTATTACGACATTTATCAAATTTAATCAGATTTAATCATTAAACAGTTCTCAGTACTTGATTAGCTTTATAACTCATGTGCTTTTGTACTCTTCAGTAATTTTTCTGCATGACTACTATTTACTTCTATTTGAGTTAAAACCTAAAGGTGCTTAAAAATAATCTGCGTACTCTACCCACATGTAACAAATGCTGTGCTGTTATTCGGTGGACCATGCAATGTAACTTAAAGACACTTTACTATATAAGCCACTGATTTAAGGTTCTGTTTGGACTTAGAGTTAACATTTGTTCTGGTTGATTTAGGTGCATTTAGACGGCCATTAAAATCTGTCCAGAGGTCAAATAACAGTTATATGCAAATAAAGATGTAGCCAAAGCACAGAGTCGGCCTTCAGCTGATCAACAAGGAGATCAACCAAATCATGTCATATATTCAAACATTTCTCTTTTTTCCTTATTTAGGTGCAGTAACTCAAAAGTGAAACACATTATATAGATCTAAGTCCCTCTTGAAAATTATATCTGGATCTTAAGGGTTTTTTACCTGGGTAAGCAAAGGAAATAAACGCATATATAGATTGACGATTGACAAAAACAAGATATTTAAAAATGTGGGGTTGATGAAAAGTGTTTTAGCCTGTCTAGAGGTTATTTTCAAAAGATACTTTTAATCTGATAAACATGGCTCATCAGAAGTCATATTCTAATTTGCTGAATATGATTTAATGTGCTTTGCAGGAGAAAGATTAAGGTACATTGACCACAAGATGTATTCAGCTCCAGAAATTATCAGTATAAACTCCACACGGCGTCATTAAATCACATGATATAATTTAATAAAATTCTAAGTTGGAGAGAAGTCCAGCAAAGAGCTCAATAAGACTTTTAATCAAAAATATTCCCTCTGGCTGGTTTTTAATGCTTTTTAATACAAGCTGTATTTTATTTAAACTTCATTTTACAGACATTTTGTTTTTATTTTATCTTTTTAAACCAAGACACCTCCAAGTGTGGCCTAATATTGTGTTTAGACCTCTAAGGCTGATGCAGATAAAATTGCTCAACAGTGTTGTAACCTCTTTTAAGTCTGTTCACACCTGTATTCAACAGGATTTACTGCATTAGCTTCAACTGCATTTCTACATTACAATTTCTATTTCAGGACCTTTTCCGAGTGGAAATTACGAAACTCTAATTTTCAGTACAACTAGAAAGCAGTTCTGTCTTCCCAGCACCATTTAAGCATACCTTAGTAACAGATACACTGCAAGATAAACTCTGTCAACATGCAATTTCCTACCTTTGATAAGCAGTATGCTGGAATTATGGGTTCATCTTGATACAGGCGGATTACAATGTGTTTTTGTTGTATGCGTGCACATTAACCCACACCATGCCCTCCTGATAGGTGGCCTGGACTGTTGGAAACACTGGCATCGTCAGATCGCCTCGGAAAGATGTTAAAGCCAGGCCAGCACAATCTTTGTTGTCTTTAAAAATAGAGAAGTGGACATATTAAAAAGATGAATACAGTAGTAGACTGAATTTGACAATGCGGGAGGGTCCTTCTTCCACATGAGACACAAACGCCTCTTATAAAAAATACCCTTGGATGGTTATTTAACAAATGGTCCGCAAGGCGAAGGAGCCCTCTGCTTTTTTTTTTTTTTTTTTTTTAATATATTCCAGAACTATAATTTGTTTAATAGCGGTTGTAAGGGTACTGGTTTCTGCTGATCTTAGCAACCTGGATAATTTTTTTTCTTCATCCTAAATTGCATGTAATTGCAGAAAATGCTTCCACAACGACAAAACGGCATCTTGGTAAAAGTAATGTGTGCCCCTTGGCATTTCAGTTTACTTTAGCCTCCTACTCCAAGAGCTAGTTGAAAATAATCGACCAGATGTAGAATAGTTATATGAGAGGCAGATATTAAAAAAAAATATATATATAAAAATAAAAGCAGAGGTTTTATTTACAATGACGAGTGTAAGTGCATATTTATTTATTGGATCAAGTGTTGCAGGCCAGTAATAACTAAAAAGAAAATTTCTTTAAAAGGTGCACATAGATATAATTTTCTGAATTGTTTTCTTGTGCATTGAAGGACAAACATGCATAGTGTTTCCTAAACAGAATCAAAGAAGTGCGGTTTATTGATCTAAATTGACTGAATGCTCTGCCATAATTATTCTCTAAAAATGTTTACTTTTCAATTCTGCTTCCAGCTAAAAGCTTTTCTTTTCTTTCCTTTCTTGGAGAAGTGTTTTCAAAATCAAAGAGTTTATACTCAGCAGCTCCACTCCTACAGAGATGGTCTTATCTATCGTCTCAATATGGAGGCTGTTTAAAACCCACTTTGCGATGCACTCATTTGTACCGGCGTTCCTTCCTCTCCACCTAGACTGATGCACAGTAATAACCTGTCTCGGTAATGTCTCACTGCCTTTGTCTAAGCCTCGCACCATGTGGGCAGAGGCCTGCGGGTTGGCAAGCGATCCGTGCTCTGACATGGTAATCCCTCACTGCATAACGGACATTATCCACCTCTGATGCCTAAACCAGTTGATCCGCACTTTGGGACTGGTCCATGTTCACCTCCACTGAGGATTACCCCCCTGCCAGTGGTCTGGCGAAGCTTTCTTTAACTTAGTGAGCATTGCGTGTGATTAGTCACCATTTACCCAGTAGTGTATGAATGTTTTACACGTCTAATAACTTTATTTTTGTTCAAGAAACAGTTTTTGTAGATCTTTGGCTAACTAATCATGTTGATGAAAATTAGAGAACGAATATGAATCAGAATATATGTCCACGGTGAGTTGTTGTAAATTTCCAAATGAATTATCCTTTTTTTGTGAAGGAAATTGAACTTTTTCGACATAAATTAATAAAAAATTAGCTTTGAAACCATAACTCAAACTGCAGAACGCAATCTGATGAAAGAGTGTGTTAAATTAAAGTAAATGAGATCATCAAATGGAATCATCATCCACTTGTCCAATCCAAGCTGATCGACTTGGGATACAAATTGAAGTGAGTTATTATTTATTAAACACCTCAACAAGTAATTTAGCAATAATAGTATTTCAAAAAGGGATGTTTTAAATAGATTGCGTGATCTGAAGTCCTTATGAGCTCCATTGGCGTTTTGAGCAATTTGTTGAATAAAGATCTTCATGAATTTTCACTTACATTGTTTAACAATGTTAACAATGTAAATGAAGTGTTTTAAGATCATGAACTGTTAGCGTCAGTCGCTCTTGTTGTATTGGTTCTGTCTGGATTCACCGACCTAATTTATTTATTTGCTGTGAATTTTGTCATTGTTTTTATGTTCATTTTGCCTTTCTTATCCATCTTTAATTCTGTGGTTTATTATTTCTACGCTGTGACTTTCAAGAGTCTGATGTGAAAATAAGAGAAGTCATTTGTAAATCTTCTCTGCTCGTCATTTGACATTTATCATGTGCAACACAAGCGAAGAACGAGATATATTAAATAAAAGTGTACACTTTACACTAGCCGATTGTGTTAAGTGCACACACTCTTAAAACTATTCCAATTTCATTGCTAAAGGTCCATCAATAAGTCACATTTTGCCAATATTTCCTCACTCACCTTGCAAAGCGTCAGATTTATCAGATTGTGAGAACATCTCACAGTGTCATCGATTTTCTGCCAAACTTAGTTCTAGGCTCGAAGAATTTGAAAAAACAGTCATTCGTTTGTACAGTTGGACATATACTCAGAATCAGAGCGATAAAATACCATCTAAATTCATCTTTCATTTTTTTCTACTAGACAACTGAAAGTTTTCTGTCAAATCTGACTGACATTTTGAACTGTGGATCATTTCACAGACTTAAACCCCATCCCAAGCTGTTCTGTGAGCGCTGCGTTCTTTTGGTGTTGTGTTTTGCTAACTTTTAGTTTTGCGGTGAAATTAAAGTACGTTTTATCTTTTACATTGACCCTCAAACAGATTTGTAGTTTTTCATCTGAATTGTGCTAAACAAATATTACGTTTTCTATGAAAACTGCTCTGAGTTTTCTTCAACAGTTGCTTTCTCATTTCAATTCTCCCGTAAAGCTTTGACTGCTGAACATTTTTGCAAAGTCTCTTCCATCTCAGCTGCTGAAGTTTCTATCTCCTTCACTGACCCAGGGCAATGTTTCCTGTGTTCAGAG